TCAGTCGCCAATAAAAAACGCAACATTGAAAATCCCATAAGGAACGAAGCAATAGCAGTAGGGGTTTTAGGGCAAGTTTATGTAGATCCTACGTTAAGTACCCGCAAATTGGAGACTGTGTGTGGTGTTAGTCGACGTACTGTCCAACGGATTCTAAAGACCCATAGTTTTCATCCGTATAAAATTCACCTGGTACAATAACTTAATGAAGACGATTTTGATCGGCGATTACAATTTTGTGAAGATATGAGTGAACGAATTATAAACGATGAACATTTTCTATTCAACACTTGCTTTTCCGACGAATGTTCCTTTTTCTTAAATGGCATAGTAAATCGTCATAACTGCCGATATTGGTCCAATTCTAATCCCAGAATTTATCATGAGGTTCATACACAGCAGCCACAAAAATTAAATGTTTGGGCTGGTATTTTTGGCGATCATTTAGTTGGTCCTTTTTTCTTACCTGGAAATTTGACCGGTGAAATGTATTTGGAATTACTGGAAGACGCCATAGATTCTGCATTAACAGCCATAATTGAAAATCAGAATGATCGGCGGTACATTGCGAATAGGTTGATGTTCCAACAGAATGGTGCCCCACCACATTACGCATTACGTGTTCGACAATATTTAGATCAGACGTTTCCAGATCGATGGATTGGTAGATGAGGTGCCATTGAATGGCCCCCAAGATCGCCAGATTTATCACCTTTGGATTTCTTTATGTGGGGTCATTTGAAAAGCAAAATCTATGATACTCAGCCAACATCATTAGAAGAACTGCGACAAAGAATTGTGAATGCCTTCAAATTACTCCCCAAATATTGCAAAATGTACGGCAACGTTTTGGGAAAAATCTTTATTATTGCATGGAGAGTCATGGTGGCCATTTCCAACATTTACTTGCCTAACGGGTCAGTTCATTCTTCATTTTTAAATTACTTTGCTGCGAAATGTATTGATCTCCACTAATGATGATGTTTTAGTTTTATTTAAGCTTTAAATCAATAAATCTTCAAAACTACTGAACTGAATCTCATGTATTTTACATCATTATGAAGGGAATTGAAAGACCTTTAAAATAAGGTATCACTCGACCCCCCTTTCCATTTAAGATTTTGGGGGCGGTGTCGCCCCCGCTTAGGGGGCTGCACGTGCTAACGTGATTTTTTGCCATACTTGTGTCCCCCTCGAAAACAAAATCGACGGCTCTGAGCGTTTTTCAAAAAAAAAAACTGAGCTGCCAGTTAATGCGTCATGTGTAACACATTAAATACTAAATAAACTCACCTTTGGTGATTTCTATAGAGAAACAGCCCCAAAATACAACACGCACGTTTTTTATTGCGTGACCTACCTTTTCAAAAGTGTTGTTTGAATGTGCTGCAGTGAAGAAAATCGGACCAAACGCAACGTACCTGATTTTTGTCAGGCAAGTTGCCGCTGGTAATTAGTGGTCATAGATATTTCACAAACTGTGATTTAGTATGGGATATTTCTGAATCACGAATAACGACTGATACCAAATACCGTGAAAATGCGTGACGTGACGTAATGGTTAAATGTATGTTTGAGGCTCATGCGCTTTATAGGTTTTGCTAGTCCAAAACATGATATTTCATTGTGGTATTTTTCTGAGAATATATAATAAATAAAAATAACTATAGGTTACTATGAGTTCGTGACGATTCCGTTAGCTGCCCAAGTTATAAATTATTTTCAATAAGTACGTGGAAGATCAATTATCCATCTTGGTCAAGTTTCACTAAAAATTATATTTCTGTACGCCACTAAAAACGATTAGATCACACACAACTTTTCAACAAATATCGAACGATGTTAGAAATAATGATGGCTTTATATCACACTGCACCTGCACCGGTTACTGTGCGATCCGTCCCCTACGTCGAATCAGTGTTATCAAAAAATAAATAAAAAGGCCATCTCTATGGCCGCATAGTAAGTTGACTTTTCTATCTTGTTCCATGTTTGTACTGCCGCTTTGTACCCTGGTACTAGCTGGTAGCTCAAATATATTCCAAAGTAGGTAATCGTTTTCAACAGAAGATGATTGTCGTTTCGTCGCTGTCTGTCAAGGAAGTTTGCCTTTGTATAAAAGTATATCGGTCAGTTTGTCAATCTGTCGGCCTGGCCATTCTTATTCCCTGGGGAGGCGATATTTTCACAAAACTTCTCGTGAGTAGAGATTTTTCGAAACCTTCTGACTTCGCCAAACCTCCGGCTTTTTTTGGCTAAAAGCCGAATGTGTGGGCGAAGATGTATTTTTTGGTCCATTGTGACCGAATCTCGTAATAACAATGCCAAATCGCCATTATCTTATAATGTATTGGGTTTAAATACTGCTTTTATTTTTAGGTTATGATGGACCAAAAGTTCAATGTCCGCAGTGCCTCAAAATGTACAAAAACGCTAATACGTTAGGTACCCATTTATCTCAAGACTGTGGTAAGGACAAATTTGAATGCACAGAATTTTTTACTCCCTACAAAAGGAAGTTTGACCTCAAAAACCATTATTTAGTAAAACACCCCGAAGTCGATTTTTATGCAATGTACAAAAATAAATATACAAGTTAGCAAAACGTGTTTCTTTATTTAAAATAATCAGGCCACAAGATTCGTGATCTGTCGTGCAGCTAATCCAAACAACTAATACTCTGTTTTATACCGACGCAGCTGCGTAGGCAGAAGCCTAAATACCAGGGTTCCGTGGCTGCTATGAGGAGCTTTGTTAAACCGCTTTTTGCTTGCCTTAGGTTAGCAAAACTGGGTAAAGCCCTCTCAGGTACATTGTTCCACAATCTCGATACCCTAGGGACAAAGGAGTGATCGTATCGCCCAGTTCTGGATGTACCAAAAAAGACACGGTTAGGATGAATGACACATCGCCAGGCGGTATCATGGAGGAGAGCTCTGAGGAGCAAAGTCCGGCGCCATAAGTGTAGAAGAGCAAGATCCCTGGGGAACACTTGCGTTGACATTGTGGGATGAAGACGAGAACTCTTCAATCACGATGGATTTTTTGCGACCAGAGAGGATGTCAGCCACCCATCTGCAAAGCTTTTCTCTCACCATGAGACTGGCTGAGTCGTGTGACGTAAGCTAGGAGGTCATCCGTGGATCGCTGGTGTTGGCAACCATACTGTCTGTCGCTAATTAAGCTCGGCTGTTCCAGGTACACTAGAAGCTTCTTATTTGCTCATATAGCAGAAATCAGAGCTCTATGTGTGAAAGTGTTGGGCTTAGAACCTTTTTTAGTTCAGATTGGACATGAATTCCCAATTTTCAGGGAAAGTACCAGATTCGTAAGAAAGCTGGAAGAAACGCGAAAGGATTGGAGCAAGCTCCGCTGCACATCTCTTCAATACAATATCAGGAATCAGGCTAGGACCAGAAACTTTGTTGATGTCGAGCGACATGAGCACCCGTCATAAGGTTTTATGTGCAGCAATATATCTATAGCAACTGGCGTCTATAGAGCTATTTTGGGCCTGAGAATAATCATGTACGTAGTCATGCCATAAGTTCTGTCCCTCGTTTTCAAACAAGTGTAGACCTGTTAATGCTTGTCCGATTGTTTACATTGTGGTGTCAGTTGATTAAGCGCTTTTCGGGTAATTACATATACCTCAGTTTGTATTGATCTCTCGAAGCATAACGATGGAGTGGGGCAAGGCAGAGAACCGTATTGCAGTGATAGCTTTACATAAGTGTAATCACAGTGCTAGTCAGATTTTTGAACTCTTACGCGGCCTTCAAATATCGCGTAAATTTGTGTCTAGGACCATTCAGCGGTACGATGAGACGTCCTCTGTTGATGACAGGCCAAGAAGCGGAAGACCTCGTCAAGTAAGGACTCCAGCAGCCATCAAAGCCGTAAAAGCCAGGATTCAAAGGAATCCACTCCGGAAGCAGAAGATCCTATCCAGGGAAATGAAGATTCCTGTCCGGACGATGTCGCGCATCATTAAACAAGACCTAGGGCTAGGGGCTTACCGGAGACGTACGGGCCAGCGACTTACGGCCACCTTGCGACACATCAGGGCGACAAGATCCAAGAAGCTCTTGGAGAGGTACGCAGCTGGGGGATTCCGAAAGATTTTGTTCACGGATGAGAAAATCTTCACCATAGAAGAAAAATTCAACCGACAAAATGACAAAGTGTATGCAAGGAGTTCACAGGAAGCTTCGGAGATCATTCCGAGAGTTGAGAGAGGCCACCACCCTGCGTCAGTCATGGTTTGGTGGGGGGTGTCCTACGAAGGGGTCACTCAGCTCCATTTCTGTAAACAGGGCGTGAAAACAAAAGCGGCAAACTATCAGAGCGACATACTGGATCCTATCGTCAAGCCTTTAAGTGGTACATTGTTTGCCAACCAACACTGGGTCTACCAGCAGGATTCCGCCCCCGCTCACAAGGCTAAGAGTACGCAGCGCTGGCTGGAAAGCAATGTGCCAGAGTTCATTGCTGCGGAAGATTGGCCCTCAGGGAGTCCGGACCTCAATCCTTTTGACTACAAGTTGTGGGACCTGCTAGAGCAGTTGGCCTGCTCCAAAGCCCACCGTAATATCGAGTCCCTGAAAGCGGATTTGATCCGATCAGCGGCAGCTATTCCTTTGGAAGCTGTGCGTGCAGTGATAGATGAGTGGCCCGCGAGATTGAAGCAGTGTGTGAAGGCCAAGGGGGGACATTTTGAATAAAACTGTTTGATTATGAATTCTAAAAATGTTGTCGAATAAATAATATCTTTCATATAAATATATCTTATCTTGTTTCATTTTTATCATGAGATTATCATGGGACAGAACTTATGGCACGACTACGTATTTAGGATAAATCAAAATTTGTATTTGGATACAGAGAGAATGATGTATTTTTTCACTGATATCCAGGCCTCAACTTTTCTATTTTCCTATTCCAAATAGGACTTCGCGACACTAGCATTTTTTGATAGCGGTATTCAAAATCACCCTATTGTTTTATTTACTTGTAACAACTGAAGATGAAAATGGGAATTTTGTGGGGTTAAAAAAGCTTTAAAATCCAAATGCAAATCAATTTCCAAAAATCTTTAGTTATCTGAAAAAATCCATCTCTTGAGTGAATCGGGTGCGTAGAGAGACCCATTTTCCTGCTAGAAATTGAACTTTGCAACAATAGCATTTTCTGATCATCATAACCAAAATCAGAACCTCAGATTACCCCACCATACCGAGTCTCATTCGTCAGTATGAACGGGAGACGAATATGATAATTTTGAGTGGAGATGCTTTAAAGTTAAAATCCGTTTCTAGGGTAACTCAGTTGATTATTTCACGCATCTGTTTGATACCCGATTCAATTTTGTCTGATATGATGGATCTACAATTATGGAACCTGTTATCGTTCCTTATAACCCGGATAGGTCATTGGAGTTCGGCTTAAGCTAAAGCAAGATGGAATATAAGCAGGTAGATATTTATTACTCTTGTCCGTGTGTAATGGCCAGTTTCTTGCTTGATAGTGAGTAACGTTAAAGTTTGAGTAGACATACTTGTAATGTTTGTGATTATTTCGTGCTGGATGGCTTTGACCACTGAAAATCACTGTTCTCTGCTGTGTTTTATTGAGACATTTTTGGGATCTAACGCATCAGTAATTTTTATGAAATTCTCAAAATGCTCAGGTAAGTAGGTGAAGCCTTTTGTTACATCGAAAATTTTCATAATTTATTACAAGTATCAAACTGTAAGTGTTTAGTCAAGCTAATTTTTCAAAACTGCAGAATCCAGGAACACGAAATAATATATATTCAGGACTAAAATACCTCAATTGACCACGGTCTGTTTACTAAGGGTGGACAATATATACCTGACTGATTTGTTTCTCGAATATCAGAATGAATGGCGTGAGCCTATAGTACCAACAGCATGTTGCTTTTGTAGAAACACATCGTGCAAGTCCAAAACTATATAAAGTATAGTTAGTAGACGAATTTTTAAGATCCTTAATAATTTTAGGTAGTGGGTTTAGTCCAATACAATGCAAACAATGTGGAAAAAAGTACAAAAACAGACATACCCTCAGCTCGCATTTGAGTCAAGACTGTGGTAAGCAGAGAAAGTATGAATGTCCCTACTGTGCTATGAAGTTTACAAGAAGAATGAATTGTCAATATCATGTTCTCAATATTCATAATGATAAAATGTACCAAGTGCAGCATTAGAGAATAGACGAATATATTTCACAAATCGGGTATGATCAAACCCGAGACCTATTTTTATACCCAAAAAGCATTTAGCTATTATTTTTGCTTTCCTCTGAATATTGCAGTAGGTTAAAAAACAACTTTACGAATAAGAAAATTACTATCAAAGATGTACATATGTAATAATGTTTTACAAATATATTTTTGATATATTCAAATACGATTTATTGAAATACTGTCGACAAAACGAGCAATCAGCTATCATGTGCCAGTCTATCTGTGCATCGAGAGTTGTTCCACGTTGAATCTCTGCAACGTGAGAAGCCGCCCTTTCCACCATTCAACAGCACTGTTCAACATTTTTGTTTACTGTTTATTAGTGAGGGCAGATATTTCACGAACTGTGTTTTAGTAACTGATATTTTTTTAAATCATAGTCACGACTTTTACCATATACCGTGACGTGATCGGATACTGAACGCCTCACTAAAACCAACGTCGTCACGGGATCAGGCCGTTAATGTTTGAATCTGCGTGAGACACGTATGCGCGCTAGCTACTAACGTTGAAAATCGTATACCATGACTTGCAAGCTCTATCATATATCAATTAGTATTTTTATAAGCTCACCGCTATTCGAAGTCACGATCACATACCATTTTTAAATCACTGATATCTAAAAGTAACGGTATTGGCCATCTCTACTGCCTATTTTTCGTAGCGCGTATCTGGATCTGCCTATCTTAGCCAACTATTATGATGGAGTTTGATATTGCGTTTCTGTCCTACAAGTTGTATTACTGTTTATAGTCAGCAGAAATTACAGAAGAAACAACGACAGAATTTCCTGACAGCTCACTTCTTTGCTGATTTGATCACCGTTGCTGTATTTAGGCTTTACGTATTCGTGAGAACATTTCTACTTATCTTATACTAACTAAAATTATTTTGTAGCTCCTATACAGACATATCAGTGCGAAAAGTGCAACAAAAAGTACAAATATTCCACTTCTTTGTACAACCACCAAAAGTTCGAGTGTGGAAAGACGAAATCGTTCGTATGTGTCTTCTGTCAGAAGAGATTTTGGCACAAACAGGCCCTGAAGAACCACGTCAATTTCAAGAGGTGCAAAATACAGAGTGTACCAAACATATTTGGGTTACTAGAGAGGGACAATGTCACTACTGTTATGACTGTACCTACAAATATTCCCGAAGCAACAACATTCAAAAATGAGTTTCTCTGAGAAACTACGATGTAAATTTTGAAAGACGCACTGCGTCAGGTTAACTTGAGTAGTTTATACCGATATTTTCAATTATTATTTGTTATACTATTTACACCTATTTGTATAGTGGTTGGTAATATGTAAAGATGAAGAGACTCTTACTGTTTTTGTATCACTATTTTACTATTGAAACCGTTCACTGCATGGGTATCTTTTTGATTTCCGCATTCCCAAGAAATATCATTAAGATGAGTTCTTGAAAATATTCGAATGTCTTTATACTTCCATTTAGGGCCTAATCGTCAGTCGTTCCTACAATTGTAGGACGTCTTTATGTCCTCCTTGATTTTCATAGTTTTGCTCTCCTTCAGAAACGTTGGGGTATTTCTAGATTTCCCCTGTTCCATGTCAGTGTCAGCGCTCTCCTATTACGAGGCTATGTTTTCCTTTTGAATTGTAGGAAATTTCAGCCTGATATAACAGATGATATAAATCAAAAGCATGAACAATTTGATGCAAGTAGATATTTGTAACATAAAATAGAGCGGTGACACGGAACAGTAGAAAACAATAAAAATCAAGGAGGCCATAAAGGCGTCCTACAATTGCTGGAACGACTCACGATACGAACCTTACTATCACACTATATTGACCCGTTGTTACTTGAATTCGATGGTTTTATCTAGTGTTTTGGTAGCTTTTTTTTGTTAAGTATATCACTCCTACCAGAGGTATAGTTAGATTAATTTATTGTAAAAAATTTTATTGCGATCATTCCAGCTTAGCATTTCAAAGACGATGAACATTTAATAATTTCATTATTTCTCTCATCGACAAAGCTCAACACTACCAAGAAATAAGATATTTATTGTATAGGTTTATTGTATCACGTTGTTAATAATCTACTGAATAAATCATGTTCAACATCAATCTGGTCTTATTTGCATGTAGTTCAAACTAAATTTTCAGACTCTAGGTGGCGGGAAACTTTGGCTTGGATAAAATAGAGGCTTAGAAAAAGGTAATAGAGAGATCTGGGTGGTCTATAATGACGTTACCAACGTTTTAAGGTCCTTCGTCAGGATACCGTACCATTCATACTAGGGATAAAACTCTTATTTCATTGAGTTAGTAAGTACACAGTTATAGATTTACGTATGAAATCGTACATTAGCCGATTGGCCAATGATCGTGCCATAGTCTTGCAGTCTCTCGTTTTGATAGTCATAATTGATGCCAAGACACCAATGATTTCTTTTTATTGCTCTATTTGGTTAAGAGTTTATGCCAATCAACCCAGAGCATTGAAGAAAGAAATTTAACGATGCACCAATACCATAACTTAATATCGTAACCAAAAGAAGAACTGTGTTTTTTTTATTTAATTTAAATCTTGCGTGGATTTTGAGAAATCTGTTATTTTTCTTGCTTCTAGTCTGGGACGATATGGTGTGTAATGGTACTATTTTGGTCCCAATGACCTTGACTTGAAACGTTGATAACGCATGGCTTTTACATGACCACCCATATCTCCAAATTTTTTAGAATATGTGGAACACAACGGGATCTTCAGCTGTGTGAGGTGCTACAAGAGCTACAAGTTCAAAGGGAACATCAGGAGACATTTGAAGTACGAATGCGGTAAGGAAGCTACATTCGCCTGTCATCTCTGCAGCTTCAAGTGCAAAAGGGCGGATTACCTTCGGTTTCACTTGTCCTCCAAGAAGCATGCTCCCAGTTGGCCTAGCCTTAAGAACTTGGATATTTGAGATTGTGGTTGGCAGTTTTGCTTCTGGTTTTGTGTGAACCATCAATTCGCTGACTCGAGTTCTTCCAAATAAATAGTTAAAACATGATATGAAGTGAATCACATTGACTTCTAATTAGTATTTTCCAAGTAACAGCTTTGAGTATGTTCAAAGGTATATAATAACATTATGTCACCTGTCCGCCAATTGTTTGATTTGTGCCACTAGCAATAACAGAAACATCTAAAAATATTTTTTATGAAAGTCAAGGATTTTGAGAAGCTTTGGAAAGGTCAATTTTTGATTCTGGGTCAATGCTTGTCGTAAGATCATAATATATCTATCACTCTTATGGTATATGATGGAACACATGATTATGAAGCAAAACATAAAGACTGCACTGCACAGTATTTTTATAGTGATCTGCAACGATCCGTCCAAAAACAAAAATTGTTTTTGTTATATCATTATTTTTAAGGTATATGCATTGTATGTTTAAGTGTTAGGTACGATTTTACTGTATGATCGATAGTATTATTACTTATATGAGGGGAGGTCAGCTGCAGACATTGACGCCCAACAAAATGAAAATGTATCCCAGAGTTTTTGAGTACTGAAATGGAATAGAACTAGTTGAACGCATCGTGCGCTACTGCTGGTTCGGTGAGTACGTATGGTATGCGTTGATTTCGCCATATTCAAACGCCCAAAGACTTAATAGTGGAGTACGATACATTACCCTGCTTTCTTCCATTTCGGTTCTCAAGATGCAATGCCTTCCGTTTTTTTAATTTTTTTAAGAATAATTGCTATACGAATTTCACAGTTTACTTTTAATTTTAGTGAAGGAGAAACGAAGAGCTTTAATATTTAGCTAGGCATGTATTTACTATTTTGTCATTCTGATTGACTTCGTAAATCAATGAAATCTATGTTATTATTGTTTGTAAAACTATCCCTAAAATAAGGTAGTACATTGGGAAAGAGTCGAGTGATTCATCGTATTTGAAGAATTTTATTTTCTTGAAAGTCTTTTACCCAAGTTACAATTTATCGTTATCCATGGTGAAATAACCAAGTAAGTCCGCAAAAAAGACTCAGATTGTACAAAAAAACTAAATCTATTTGAACGCTGAAATGGTTCTGACGACGTCGTGTATAAGGTAAAGTCGCCTAATATGAGACCCATTTTGGAAAACATCTATAATTTCTGTAAAAATAACAAATTTTAAGTTATTACTGATTTGTTTTATTGGTAAGGGTTTTTGCTTTAAAAAACACGGAACGAAAATGTACTTTTTTATTTATTTTTTCAAATAAAGCTACAATACTCATAAAATATAAAAAGTAACTAAAAAAAATTGGGTTCCTAATATGAGACCCTATAAATGTCTTTCCAAATAACATTATTTAGAGTAAATAGACCATAAAAATACATTATATAGTTACTTTTTCTGTCTTTTTTCACACATTGGGCACACAAAGATAGGATCTTCTGCACCACAATCTTCATGGGCCCATCTGTAGCACACTGTACACCTAACCCACTGTTCACCATACTTGTCTGCAGAATACATGCTTGTGCAGAAGAGGCATTCTGCGTCATAATTTTCGTCACCATCACTCTCATCATCAACAACAACTTCTCCCAAGTCATCGCTTTCATCAGTTGAGCAGTCACTTAAATCGGCCCTCTTCTTTTTAAACCGTTTAGTACTTTAAAGCCTTCTCATGAGGATTGTTTCACAATCTCGTTATCCTAAGGATAAAGTATCGACCAGTTCTGGGTGTACGACACGGTTAGGATGGGAAACCGAAGTCAGACCGGTCTGTCTGACCGATCCCAAGACTGTCAGTTAAAGTTTTGGTTTGCGAAACTTTGCTTCCCTTGCATCGTCAAACTTAACCTTCTTTGTAACTGATGTAACTTTGCTATGTTTTGCGGAATCTTCCTTTTTACGTTTCTTATCCAAACTTTCTGTTAAATCATCTTTGTAAGGAGATGAGGTAATCAATGCTGCACTGCCTGCACGAGCACTGGGCTTCTTGCTCTTTATTTTGGGAAGAGGTTTTATCTGCACTGGACTGACAAGCTTTGTAGGTTCTGAAAGGTATTTGACGGCCTTACGAGAACTATTTACAGCCCCCTGATCATTGGACTCTTTTGAATTTCCCGGCCGTGGATCATCTGCGGCATCCTGAATATCGCTAGAATCTTTGGAAGTTCCTGGACGGGGATTATCTAAAGCTGTTTTAATGCAACTGATACCTTCTGATTTTCCTGAAGTATATTCAATGTTTCTAGATTCTGTGGAAGATCCCGGTGGAGGACGACTTACAGTATCTTCAGGGACTGTTAATTTCTCCTCAACTTCGAACACTGAGAAATCATGATCTCGGAAAATATTTCTATTAAGCGGAAATAGTCCCGTTGTTCTAAACGAGTTCACCGAAACCTCCATAGTGGCTGCTCTGTTATATGCAACTGAAAATAGTCTTGCAATGATAAATGGCGTGACAATACGATCAGGGTTGTTTCGCAGCCAAGTCTCAATTTCCTGAGCATAGTACGTTTTCAGAGGCCCCATGAATCCTACATCCAACGGTTGCATGCGATGTGTGCTGTGGGGAGGTAGGCAAACAATTGATACGTGGTTTTCTCTAGCTTTATTTATTACGTCTATGTTACGCGTATGGGAGTAGTGTCCATCGAGCACCAATAACACAGGATCTGATGGTGTTGGCTTTGTGAATTTAATAAAATGGTCAAACCATTGTGTAAATATTTCGGCTTGAATCCATCCAGAAGGGTGACATGCGTAAATGGAACCGGTTGGCGCACCGTCCATCAATTCAATTTTCATATTTTTTCTAGGCCACACAATTAAAGGCGGTACGTAAGTTCCTACGGCATTCATGCATGTCACCACTGTAATAAGGCCTCCCCTTTCAGCTGATGTAAGTGTTGCTACTTGCTTTTTACCTTTAGCAGAAATGACCTTACTTCTTTTATGTTGCACCACACTAATCCCTGTCTCATCCACGTTAAACAACCTTTGTGGTGCAAAATTGATTTTCGATAATTCCTTTTCGTACAAATCGAAGAATGAAGCAACGCTTTCTTGATTGAATCCCCGTATTCTGGCATTGGACATGCCTTGAGGTGACCTAACAGACAGCTGGGGATTACGTTTGAAAAATCCTCTAAGCCATTTTTTTCCTGCAACGCCTTTTTCCTGTGAAAATGGGTGCTGGATATTATTAGCAATTGCCAACTCGAAGGCCATGCGTTTTACATCAGATCTTCGCAGACCAAAAAACCTATTATCCATATCGAGACAGTATCGAACTAGCTCATCCTCGATAGCTTTTCCTAAAGCAGGTTTTCTACCAAGTGTTGTACGAACGAGTTCTTCAGGAGAAAAATTAATGTTTTTAACATAACGTTCAAGGGTACCTTTCGGTACATGAAAATGTTTCGCCGCTGTCTTGTAACCCATGACATGAGTTCGAACTGCTTTAATCGCCAACACCATTTGCCCCTTGTTCCATTGTTTGCGACGTTTAGAAGAACTCCCCTGAAAAAATTCTATATAAATATCGGGGTCCTAATATGAGACCCTCCTCATAATGGGAACCCCAGAGGGTCTCATATTTGGAACCAACAACACATTTAGAAAAAAAAATTATAGGTTAGTTTGTTGTATTTCGAATGGATAAAGAAAAGGTGGGAATAAGACTACATTTGTTGTACTACATACAAATCATATTACAAACCAAAATATACTTACCATGATGATAAAGTAAATATATAAAGGGAAAACGGTAAAAAACTTCACAGTACAAATTTTAACAAATCTCGCATTAAACAGCTGTTAAATGAAATATTGCGCCATCTAGAGGAGAGGGCCCGTACTATACCACTAGTAACCTGTAAATCATATGAATGTGGGCTTACAGGACTCTACAGAGACGATCATCTAGGGTCTCATATTAGGCGACTTTACCCTACTCTGACGGGCTGGTCACTGTCAGTGCAAGCAAACTCATTGGAAACCAGGTGTTTGTTTATTTAGACGAATTAGTCAGAACTCGCTACAACAAATGTCGACCGCATTCTCATCCATAATAAACCAAGTCTAAGTAATAGAGCAGAGCATAAGAAATGCTGAGCAGGTGACCAACTGTATCGTGATGATGGACGTAGTAATCACATGAATCAATGAAAACGAGTATTTCGATGACTCACTCAGGCTGTTGCTTGCTCTAGATAGGATTTTACACATTGTTTGTGTCTCCGGGTTTTTTCGGTGTTTTGTACTTTTGTCGCATTCACATGTCGGGCTAACATAGGCTAACACCAATGTTGAACGCTGAACCAATGCGCATTGGCCGGTGTTGGCCAACGTTGGCGCTGAATGATAGCTTATCATACCACAATTAGATCTACTATAACTTCGTCGCTCACGTACATTCCTTTGACGAACCGCATCTGCAGCGACGTACGATGCGATCGTTACGATGCTTCATTCCAATTTGTAGTTTTCTTTACGTGTTTTGAATGTTACTTAGCGATGATAAAGTGCAACACAACATTTTCGTGCAACATTCATGGGCGCCCGCGGAAATAGTTCTCAGGGAGGTAGCAAATTTTCTCAGACTGGGCCAAATTTTAAATATGTTACATAAAACTATGCTGGGTGGGCAAATAGTAGGCTGCTACCAGAATCTCAGGAGCAGACACAGTCGTCGCAGCCTCCCCTTGCGGCCGCCCATGGCAATATGCAACACCACAGACCGGCTTACATTACGATTTACCATGTTCTGTTCTCAATCTATTGATCTTTCGTACAGCTACAGTATTGTAAAGATAATATTAAACTGTTACTAATAATAGTAAGCATTATAATGGTAGATTCTGGATTTTTTATGAATATATTATTTTGACTACTCGCGATTTGCCTTTGTTTATATCTGCTGTAGCAGACCTATTCCTAAAAGATCAGAGTCGTCAAAGAAAGAATGAAATCCTATACAGATATTTGGTACAGCACAACATGGGGACTGCGGAATGGTGGACCAATTAGTGTACCGATCGACTGTAGTGGTCACATGGAACAATGAAAACAAGTATGTCGGTGGTCTACAACTCCAGGAATACGCTGTTGCTGTACCTTTTATCTAGTTCCAGCTAATCGTTTACCCAATGGCCAGAAAGGATCATTTCATATTTATAAACGTTGTAAGAATTTTATTTACATATACTACGGGGTCGGCAAAAAAGAGTCAAAGGTAGACTAAGTTCTAGACTTCATCTCCTCACCACTACTATTACTACTTTTTTACATGTAATTGAATCTCTTGAAAATGTAATTGTAACCGTTTTTAATTAAGCAAATACAGCCAAGTAAAAACAATAAATGATGATAAAATACTAAGCCAAATAACCGTATGTACAACCCAATAAACCGATTGAGTGCTATCTGCAATACTTACAGCTACCTTGCCTTTGAGGTTGATAATGCTATAGTACCAAATCCCATTTAATCCCGCTCGAAGTAAATACAACTGCTCGACGCTTAAACTCGCGCATTCCTATTGGCCAATGGCCAGCAAGCAATAAATGCCTGCCATAAAAGCCACGGAGTTAACGAGGTTTGAAGATACTAAGGCAAAAAAGCAACTGTTAAATTACGTTATTAAAGTTATACTATAATCTGGTATCGAAAGGCGCGAGCAGCAAAACACATCGGACGCCCATGCCAGCGCGGCCTCTCTTTGGAATGACAATGACGGCGCGCGGGTATCCCGCCTTATTCAAAGAGATGCCGCGTTAGCATGGGTGTGCGATGTGTTTTGCTGCTCTCTTCCTTTTCGGCACTCAAGTACAGAGGAAGAGTATGTATAGCAGCTATTACGTCACCTAAAAACATACGATTTTTAGATAGCTATTGTACGCTACGGCCAAAAAACCTAATCAGTGCTTAGCATAGCAGTATACTTTTTATCTTAACGTAAAAGAGTCCTATAGGATGTTCACAATTCTTATTTATTGTAGAATTGTAGTCGTAGTCGGATGCTTGTTTAAACATAGGTGGTAATCAATCGGTCATATTGAAGCATCCGAAATTATATATTTATAATTATATTAAAATCCTAAATTTAAACTTGTCTACAGCTAATTCATTTTCAGATCACTTCATGATGTTTAGAGCTACCAAGTACATCTGCCCTCAATGCCACAAGCAGTATAAAGTAAAATCCAGCTTAGCCAGGCACCTGAAGCTAGAATGCGGAAAAGAAGCCAGTTTTAAGTGTCCTTTCTGCCCATACGCTTCGAAGCAAAAGTATCCTTTGACCAGTCATATTAACTTTAAGCATCCTGAGAAAAGACTTAAGTTGATGTATGAAAGAAGCGCTTTCATATAGGAATGGTATAACAGACATGTTGCGGGTTATTTTTAGTATTGTTTTTGTTTAGATTAGTAGTATTATTGATCTCCTATGTTATGGAAATTTGTTATCGATATTTTCAGTCGATAAATTCCAAGTACTGCATCATATCCCAGACAATTTTATGCAGCTCACTATAAGAAGTGTTAATAAGGTACCTCGTAAGCGAGTCTTGGGCCTTTATGAGATGAAAAGTTCATATAAACGTAGGGGTGGTAAAGGTATAAAAAATCCTCAATTGGAGCGAAACATTGTCATAGCCTTTAAATCGTCGGACTAATCCGTAAAATGTTTCTCTTTGAGGGGTTCAGGTTCATTGTCGCGTTTTACCTATTCATTTTCAACAAATATTAACAAAATCGTCTGAGTGAATTTTTAAAAAATGTTTGACATCTTGAAATTTGCAATCGAAGCATGAACTATGTTTATAAGATTTTGTTTCTTATTATCACCCAAGGAATCATCTCGTAATGCTTGACAAAGTGCTTTATGACAGATTTTTTTATCTTTGTTGACTTTTTACTTCCTTTTTATTCCTTTATATACTCAGTTGATTAGTCTTTTTCGTTCGTTATTGCTTATATAATACTCAGAAATTGTGAGAAATTGAGATTCATGACAAAACGTGTGATATATTTTTTAGATATTTAATTTCATAGTTTTTGACAACATTTATATTTTTTATCCTTTACAACTTATTTTCTTGTGTTTATTCTTACGGACATTTGTTTTTTAAATTTACACGATCTTTTTATATTTTTGTATACTATAGATTTAGATGTTGCCTATTTAATTTTTCACGAAAGCTTGTGATAACTCATATTGATATTTTGTCACAGAACTGCTCAGTGTTGTCACACTTCTAGGAATAAAAACAGCTTTGGAGCGTACAATTTCTATTGCTATTCTATTTTCATATTTTGGCATATTTTACGTTATTTACAGAACGTATGCCAACACTGTATTTGACTCATTCTGTGTAGCGCATTCCTAATTCCTATTGATATTTTTTTAGAGAAGTGGATTGATATTTTTAGATATAGAAAATTTTCGCGTAATATTTTTTATGGAACTTTGCGTTATATGACAATATAAATATTCTATCTTCCATTTTGCCTTTCATTTCTGCTAATGCTTTTGTGTCAGTCTTTGGAAGGATTTTTGCAGAGCTTTCTTCTAACACATCAACCTTTTTAGTGTTCCAATTCCGACGCAGGGGTAGAGGAAGATACAAGACACACGTTGTGAGAGAAGCCAAGAAGGATTTGAGTAAAGATTCTTTCCACTGTCCGTTCTGCAAGTACGATTGCAAGAGGAGGTTCACTATAGTTGGTCATGTTAGAACCTCACATTCAAAGCAGTTCGATCATTTTATCAAAAACATTTATAACTCGATTTGAAAGAAAAATGGTGAAGCATACTCCCTGCTTAGGTGAAAGCTAAACTATTACGGAGTTTTACCACTTGCCAAAACGATTTTAACTTCTCGCGCCGCTGGCATGGAAGTAGTGTACTCGCGGAAAATTTGAAAAATCAGGTATTAATGTTTTTGAGTGTTACATGATATGTAGATAATGAGAAAGCAAGTCACTAATTTCCGTCGATCTGTCTGTCTGTCTGCCCGTCCTCTAATCCTTGGCTCGTCTATAATTTTGACACAATTTTACGACTATGGCAAGGACGAAAAAGCATTGTAGTTTTTAAAAATCAATCCACTGGTGGCGGAGCTATAGGCAAAAAATCGCTCAAACTTAGGTTGGCGGTTCAAGAACTATTGATGAGTTTCAGAAAAAAATGTGTACGGGTTGAAAGTTAAGGGTTGGGGATTGTAGAGGTTGGTATATTTATACGCTTTCAGCCCCAGTGACTCTGTGCACAGAATACACATATTTGACACCGAATAAGTCTAATCATATTAGCAAACTTCCCCTAAATAATTGTAAAGTCTGGTTTTATTGATGCAAGTTGTTCAGAGAGGTATTTAAAACATAGATGCATAAAATGGGTACACCAAATTGTGTGGGAAAACTTTTCATTTGACAACAAAGAATGAGAAAACGTGAGTTTTAGGACTTGATCGAAAGTGTTGAAAGGAACGAAAAAACTTTTCATATAAGTTTTTTAGGTATTTCTGAGACCTACAGAATGAGACCACACGTGAAAAGATCCGACTAATAACAAAAATGTTATGGCCGAAAAACGAGGTAAAATGCAGGTTTTGGCACTTGTTGGTAATGCGACGACAATTTCACGCAACTACTTGAAATTCTTCAAATCCGTAGGATTCACACTTCTAAATAAGAGCAACAAAATTTGATTATGTTGGTCAAGTAGTTTTTTGAGAATTTCTAATTATTTAATCCAAAACACTGTTTTCCGGCCATCACTACTACATAGTTCATTGAGCTATACAGGGTTCTTTTAAAGAGCATTTAATAGCAAATTACACGTGCTTACCTTGCCGATATGAATCAGAAACCATTCCGAAAGATAAATGTTATTTTTATGCGAAAAACAAAGGTTGCGTCTTTTCTTCTAAACTAAATTCAAAATTTCGTATTTTTGAATAATTGAGCAAATGCGCTACGATATTCGAAAAACATACAATACTGTACACATTTTCAAACAAGACGGATGTGTCTATCATCTTTTGTTGCGAATTACTCACAAATACGACATGGTTGAATTTGTTTAGAAGATAAAACGTAACCCATCCTTTTTGCATGAAAATAACAATTATCTTTCGGAATAGCTTGTGATTCATACCGGCAAGGTGAACTCATGTTTTTTGCTATGCTTTGAACGAACCCTGCTCAATAAACTAGTAGTGATGGCCGGAAAACAGGTGTTTTCTGATAAACAATTATAAATTCTCAAAAACTACTTGACCAATCTACTCCAATTTTGTTGTGGCTATTTAGAAGAACGATTCCTACGAATTTGAAGAATTTCAAATATCTGCGAGAAACCACCATTGCTTCGGTTTTTGGCCATAACTGTTTTTCTATTGGTCGCATCTTTTTACGTGTGGTCTCAATTTGTAGGTCCCATAAATACCTAAAAATCTTATATGAGCAGTTTTTCAGTTTCTGTCATCACTTTCGATTGAATCCCAAAAAACACGGTTTCTCATTCTTTGTTGTCGAATTAAAAGTTTTCCCACAAAAATTGGTGTACCTATTTTATGCGTCCATGTTTTGAATACCCCCTTAAACAATTTGCAGCAATAAAACCAGACTTTACAATTATTTCGCAAACCAGGGGTATTCTCGTCTAATATGATTAGACTAATATGCCCTTGAAGTGACAGATGACTATTTTCAAGGTGTCCTGAAAGTTAGGATTTTCCTATTTAGAGTCAACCACCAAAAACGTGAAAAAAACCACCACACATTTGGTAAGGAATTTCAAGTACTCCTCTGTCACATGTTTTGTTTGTAAACACTGCTTGAAGTTGGCGCTGTTCCATTCAAAAATCTCTTTCTGAATTTGCAACATTTGAGGCTGTCTAGGTCTTCAACTGTGTTCAGCCAGACGGCTTTTGCACTGTATAAACAAACATGCAGTTCTGATGGAAGCAAATATCGAGCACGATGGGAGACGTTCAGAGTACATTCGCGGAGTATCAATAGAATATTAAAGATGCTCGTATCGATTACTACGCTAGTGCCAATTTGACTTTTTCAATGACGGTTTGTTTATGCACTAAGTTAGCCTAGACAAAACGTGACAACTGATTTCGATACTGACTCACATAGCCTTAGTATATCAACATCGTGCATAATACTGGCTCATTTACTGCTTTTTCGAGCCTAATCTCTCTCGGTTATCTTCAAGCTTTGGTATATGCATGTTACTAAAAAACAAGCTCCATATTGCTTGATCTATAAGCTCTGTTAATAAGAGTCCCATCTTTGAGGACATCTTGTACACTTGTGTCGGAGTCTAACAGTTAGTAACTAGTTGGTTATACATGTTCGTAGATAACTTTTTTCTGAGAGGGACTCTCTAATGCCGATCATGAATTGATGGAAGCGTTGCATGGCAAGTGCAGAACCAACCTATTTGACCTCGTTTTTTAATGACAACCAACAGCATGTATTTTGCTATGCTGGAAAGATTAAAACTGCTCATGTCATTATTCGGACAAACAACAGAAGAATACTCTAGATTTTGTAAAATGTAATTAATTTGCGGTTAGAATAGGTATTCTCAAAGAGGAATTCAGCATTTTAGTACAATATCTAGTGAAGATACGTGATGTGTGTAAACATCTTATTCCATTTAGTTTGTCTGTTACAAAAATAGTGTAGAGTTTTTTACCAAAACGATTCATTAAATTTTTTTATATTTTAATCACCATTAATCGGAAGATTTTTCTTTGAGATGGCTTAAGGAACACTTAGAAACATCCCAGATAACGTCCAGATTGAGAATATGTGAAATATTTGTATTGAGTGTCGTTTTCATAATTTTTTTGAGATAACCGAATCCTATTATGAAGATGAATTCCATCATGAAAAAGCACTTTATTATGTAGATATAATATATATAATTTGGGGCAGTAAATTAGCATGCGGGTAGTATACTTATATTATTTTGAACTTGTATTATTTGTACGTTAACCAAATAAATATATTTTGTGTTTATCTGTCTGATTTTCATAACCTATAATAAATACGTTTGTAACCTGAGGAAACGAAGATGGAGAAGAATGTATCCGGCACGTGTATTAGGTAACTTGAAAAGTGACATTGTCGTTTTTTTATATTGTTTTTTGTGAAATTATGTAGGTTTTTCTACAAGATGTAAACTTAGCACTAGCTGATGGACACTTGCTGTGAACTCGTTTTGTAGTTGCTTCAGTTATCAATATTTGGCTCTGATGTGATGTAAGATCTGCTTCAGAGATGGTGTTATTGGAGGTCTAAGCTGTAATTTGTATTCTACAGCTAGAAGGAAATGGCAATTATAGGTGCGTAGTGAGGATTTGTGTGCTAATACCTAATACGTGTTGATGATATTTCCATTGGATTCTTGTCTCAGATACAATTATTACTTGGGATTCAATGCTAGAAATTAGTTGCGCGTCCACTTTTTCTTATTCATTCTGGAAGTTACATATGCAAATTTGATCAATTTAAAAAATGAGAGAGATAAGAAAAGAAAATACCTGGTTGGTGAAGGAACAGGCTATAGACAGGAATATTTACGAAAGTGAAAAGGTTATTACATTATTTTTATTTCCAGTCATAAAAATTTTATATAAATTTATCTTGCGATGTCAATAGAAAATACAAATCAGCGCCTAGATGTGAGCCATGGCTAAAAGGTTTAATGTGTGATGCGTCATTCCTGATTTTTCTGTGATGTGGCTTAATTGCAGACAACGCGGGCGCGGTGGCGATTTACTCAAAGTTTTTAAAAATACAAAAAAACACAACCTTTGCTCAGAAAGGACAACAAATATATAATCCGTCGGGCACAGCTAATAGATATACTTCATTGTCAGCATATTCAGTAATAATTTTCTCACACATCAAATATGACTGATTTTATACAAATATAGACCAATTATCCAGATGCGATCTTGCTATTCAATAAACTTTCTTTCTTTCGCATCTCAGAGATAAACATTACAGACTACTGGGCTTCACAAAACATATACTTGCTTTCTGTGGTAGTAGTAGTCTTTCCTCCATAGTTGGACGCTCACACCGATCATAGTGAGCAAACATGGAATGTGAAACTATTTGTATCCCAAAAACTACCTAGTTTGCAAGATGAAATTTTACTGTTTTGACGTTTTGTAGGTTTTTACATAATAGCCGTGCGAATGTATGGACATGTGTGTCTACTTTTGTAGTTGCATATGTGCATTCGCTTGGGGCCTGATGAATCCAATAAGCAGAAATTCGTATCGCTCGGCTTACCTATTCTACTTTCTGCTCGATTCCATTTTCCTTCTTTTCGCGGATTTTGCCCATTATATTTCTTTTTGTTATATACCTTCCTGCGCATGATCCTTTCATTGTTTTGTAGATCCTATGGCCTTGAAGTACCACGGCAAGTAGCTATAATCGACCGTGTAGTTGCGGTTAGATGTCGCCTTGAAAACTCGAGGATTTCTTGCCATTATACTACAAAAGTATAGTTTAGCTCTTGGTGACTTTGTGGGTTGTTTTGTTCCTCTCCATCGAGGGGTTCCTCAGGCTACACACGTATCCGGATGTATGGGCATGTGTGTCTACTTTTGCAGTTGCATATGTGCATTCATTTCGGGCCTGATGAAGCAGAACAAACAGAAATACGTATCGGTCGGGTTACCTATCCTGCTTCCTGCTTGAATCCATTTTCCTTCTTTTTGCGAAACCTACACATTGTAGTATATAATTTTTGTAATATACAATCTGAGGAGAGTACAAATTGTGTACTTATTGAGATAAATAAATAAGGGTCAAAGAAGTCGATTTACACGGTTTAAGAGGCATAAAGGAATACAAACTAATTATTTCTGTTATTAGATTACAAAATTATCTGCGTGACAGCAATAAGACGAAAATAGAGAATGGTAGAGTCGGCAAAACGGACTGCAACTTGCTGTGCTCCTCATATCGTCATATTGACGTTATCTGGATTCTTCTTCCTAGAATTATTTTCTTCCGTACTTTGGATTTCAGCAAGCATGTACCATCCCCACTGATACCTCAATATTTACTGACAACAAACATTAGTTTTCAGATATATGAAATTCGAAACAGACATAAACGGCAGGTTCAAATGCCCGACGTGCACCAGTTCGTACAAGCAAAAAGGACACCTAGTGCGACACATAAAATATGAATGCGGAGTGGAACCTCAATTCATGTGCGACATTTGCTTCAGGAGGTTCAAGCATAAAAGCAACCTGAAGGCGCATTATGGAATATGTCATAAGAGAGGAGGGAGTGACAGTGGAGACGAATGTAGAGGAGTTATGAAGATGACCATTAACCTGGATCACTTCTTCGAATGACTGATGAAGTATTATTGTATGCTGATTTCCTTTGACTATATATTGGTCAGTCAAGCTCTCCCTTATCCTTAAAACACACTTTAAGTGTATTTGGAACTGTACAAATAAAATCCCGCAATCTCCAATGTTAGCCTCGCTAGACAGCGCTTGTGTGGTTGGGGGTCAAACTGTCAAAACGGATTTGATAGGAAGATAACGTATTTTTCACGACATCTTCATGTTATGTACTCTATTGACGTGCACAGCTAATCAGGAATTGACATCTGTGTCTGACCTCCAACACAACTAGCGCCATCTGCTACTATTATCAGCGTTGTAACTATCTGATACTAGGCCTTCATATCCTAATAGTTACAGCTTACAAAAATGTCAGAACAGTGGCGACTATTTTAACTAATACAAATTTTAACATAGCATTATCTTGCTTTGAATATGTTGGAACTCCTGACCCTACGCAACTTCGTAGTATTTGTTACAAATTAAAGTAAACATTTTGGAAATGTGAAGGCAAAGTATGATTGAATAGCGTCAGAACCAACATTATTCAGAAAATTCTACAAGTCAGAATTTTATTCACGAAACTAGAGTGTATGAAATCTTCAGATCTGATAGTTTTGTTTCCTATATTATTTATTTGTATTGCATACTTTAGTTAACGTTTTCACCTTTTACATCACATCTATGGTATTATTTGATATTAGTTGTAGTATTATTATGATATTGTATTGTTAGCTACTTTTAAACCTAATGATAATTCAATTTTATTTTGATGAACAATTGTTTCCTATAATTTATTCTAACGACTCGCAATAATATCTGACATGTAGTACTTCGTGTGCTAACATGATATTTCAGCTTTAATGAAAATGAAAGTAAGTATACTTTTTCACAATGTTTTATATAAAAATATACGTTATTTAGAGACCTAAATCATTGATACACTAATAATGTTTATACTGTTTAAAAAATAGAAAACAAATATTTTCGCAGTAAAAAGCGTGCATATATTTCAAACCCCCAACTACCCTTCTACATCGTGTTGTTTCTCATTTATATGTGAAATAATACCCATAGTATCATTAGTAAATGATTTGTCCAACTGCAGGGAATTCGAATTATAGTTAAACTACTTTACATCTAGATTTTAATCTTTATTTTATTATTGTCAGAAAAATACTGTTTCTAAGACTTCCGTCACTTAGACGAGGTAGTTTGCGATGAGTAATAAATTATTTGTTATATATTTGGATACTGACACCGCATATTACGTGCCCATTTTGCCTCCGAAAAGCAGCATATTACTTTACTGTTTTTAACTATATTCTGATGATATTTTGTATCATTCTTTCATCTATTACACATCTGAAGAATATTGAAGCTTTTTGCTAGTGTTTTTTTTATATTTCCGTAATTTGCACAACTCCTAGTTTATTAGTTTATTTGTAGCATAACTTGAATGCTCATGTTTGGTTTTTTATTTTTCGTGTTTTGTGTTCGGCAGTAGTTACCCAGAGATGCCTGTGATTTAGTAGCAAAGTAAGTGTTCTGACGACCTCAGTTACACAATTTCTTTTCTCACAAGCACTTTATCTCTTTCAGCTGCTCTGCCGACAGAAGCAGAGAAAATAAACTGTCCCAGATGCGGAAAAGGCTACTTCCGACACCAGATGTTTACTCACGTGCGGTTTGAGTGTGGAAAGCAGACGGTTTTCCACTGCCCGTTGTGTCCAAGAAAGTGCAAAACGGATGACATTTTGAAGTTTCATCTGAGAAATATCCATAGAATAGGCTAATTGCTAATTTAATTGTAAATAATTAGTGAGCTTTTGTGTCTCGAACTTTGTTTGGTTAAATTAAATGCTAGCTGTTGTGTGTCACTCATTAATTTATTTATTTGGAGATTTGTGTCCAGCAAGTAAAATTTACGGTGATGTAAAAAGTCTCAATCAGAGAACTGTACAAATAAAAGTCACTATTTTACTGGTATAGAATATTTCTGATCTGTATATGATTTAAAAAAATAATATCTTTCTCCGTAACATGCTATTGAATATAATGATAGAATCGTAGTCAGCGTACCTGGTTCTTTTTGTTTGGTAGAGAAAGCTAGTTCTAATTCATTAGGAAGCCAGTATTCTTAATCAAATCGATCGATCTTCGGCCCAAGAAAGACCTGATAGTATTTTGATGTCAATATGTTAATTAGTTTGTAAGAATCGTGATGTTATTTGATATTATCTTAGTTAGTCTATTAGGAGACGAAAAAAATGTATTTTTCAGTAGCATGGTTGTTAGTTTTAAACAGTTTAGGGAAGTCCATGCAGTAGCATATACAGTACTTTTCACAAAGGTCACTCCCCTAGTTATTTTTTGAACGGAACAAGTTGGCAAGCTGAAATTTTGTTCAATGAAATTGATGTATGAATATTATATTTAACTTTAAAGTGGCGAATATTCATTTTGGCGGCTAGTTGCCATTTTGAAACATTATTTTAAATGGAATAGTTCGTCTTTAGATATCTGACTCTGGAATCACTTATTACTCAACAACCAATCATTAAAATATTATAGAATATGAGTCTTCATCTCTTGGAGGGGTATATCCGAATATGTAATAAAACATGGCACATTCAAATTAAAAAAAAATTATCGAAATGTGTTCCATATTTTATTGCACACTCAGGTAGATCCTTTGATGATTACTGATTAGTTCTCGAGTTATTAGTGTTGTGATGTAAAAAAACGCTTCCACTTTGATAGCCTATCGGTTTCATTCAAAACATTGTTGCAAGATAGTGCCCAGCCGCAATCTTGAAATTTTCAGCTGTTATTTTACGGTGAAATATAGTATTGATGCATAAATTTCAACAGATAGCATGAGTTTCAGCTTGCTAGCTCGACCCATTTAATAAATAAATAAGAGGAGCTTTTTAACGCTTTTCCTTAGTGACCGGTTCACATAATTTTAGGGACACTTTATCCCTGCGTGTGTGGGAAGAAGTATTCCATGCTACACAATTTGAAGAGACATCAAAAATATGAGTGTGGAAAGAAACCATCCTTCAGCTGCGATATTTGCGACTACTGTTGTTTTAGAAGGAATGTATTACTCTTGCATTACAGAAAGAAGCATCCTACTGTTCAGGTCATTGTTACTAGTGGAGGCATTGAAGTATTGAATAAATCCCATGATTAGATATAGATATAACCTCTTATTTCGTTCATTGCTGTATGAAATTTTTGCGATTCATTAGCGAACAAAGTCCAAAAAATATAAAATTTTATTTACAGCGTTTTCTTCAAATGAAGAAAACAATGAAGGACATTGTCTGTAATAGCGGATCCTGGTCTCATTGAATCTGTCTTCTCATTTCATTATTGCAAAGTCTGATTAGTTTCATTTAGATTACTGAAACGTTTTGGAGAAAACCCATCGAAAAAGTGTTAGGAATTGAAAATTACGATAGCTAAAAATTAGGATTAATGTTTGTTCAGTCCCCTTTTTATTATACTTATGGTATATTGTATAATGTACACAATACCACTTTATGGCTTTTTAACGGCCGCCGACAAAAACGTAAACAGTCTCTTTAACTGTCGACAACTATAACTTAAGTATCCACCACCCGTTAGGATTACGTGTTTTGACAGTGGGAATAATTATTTACCTAACAAGTGCGGAGTTCGGCAAGTCGTCAAGAGGGAAAAATACGGAACAAGGTACTCATTTTCAACACACATTTGCGTGCAGAAAGGAGCAATGTTATGCGTACTTTTTGCACGCAGATGAAAGTGAGTACTTTCCGCACGCTGGTAGAAAAAAGTTTTTACGCAAAAATGTGCAATTTACATTATTATTTCTGTATACTTGATGCCTTCATATTTTCTTAAATTGTAAGATTTCATGTTCGTGTTTCTCATTATTTCTTCTATACGTTAGATTGAAATTTCATTAGATAAACAAATTTTTGGTTCGATCCCTCTTAGATGCCTAAATCCACTATTCTTCTGAAATCGCTTTTGAAGTTCGAAAAATTTAATGAGAAAACTAATAAACGAAAATGGAGTCTTTTTAGAATGGCTAAAGCTATTTATTGATTCCTTCCGGAATAAGATGGGACGGGAGAAGACAGGAACACATTTTTTCTTTATAATTTTCAAGTGTAATTTATAACAGTCTAGCAATGGTCAGCGTATTCAATTCGGTTCACTTTGTTTGACATGGACGAACTATTCTAACAGATTTTTGTATATTCGCGTATAAGGACAGGTTGTATTCTTAGTCAGTTTAGCCTTATACTCAAGAAAAAGCGTAATATTGTTTGAAGTCCAGTACACAAGGAAATATATACAAATCAGTTGTGTTGATAGTAATTATCAGCAGGAAGAGAGTTGTCAGGTTTGAACATATTGGAAAAATCCATGCAAGGATATCTTTATAACTCAGAATAATATATCAATCTGTGTATGTATATAGTACATAAAAAGAATTCAAAAGTTTGTATAAAAATTGACCTACTATTTTTTATTTTCTATTATGCATAAGAGAGTCAGTAGTGTATTACTCTGAGACGCTGTGTAGGTATTTTAGTGATTGTAGCTGTATCTTCAAGACCGTGCTTTTCTTTAGTATGTTTCCTATATTTTCAGGAACTCTTTACTCCTGTGTCTGTGGGAGGGGATACTCAATGCTCCGCAATTTGAAGAGACATCAAAAACATGAATGCGGAAAGGAAAAATCATTCGGTTGTGATATGTGCAAATACAGATGTTTTAGGAGGAATGTACTAGTCTTGCATTACAGAAAGAAGCATCCGACAGTTGAGGCCATTGTTACTAGTGTAGGCGTTGAAATAATGAATAAATCCAATAATCAAATATAAATATTCTCATATCTATTGCTAAGCAAGAACCAGAAGCAGACGTCTTTACAATATTACGTTGCCCCGATATGCCGTTGGTCTTCTAGATATGTGTTTCGGCATTTAAAGCTGAACCTCAGAATAATCAAGATTCAGAAAGATATTTGTATGTGTAACGTCATTTTGTCTTACTGATTTCTCTATCAAGACAACATTACATCTTTCATAACTGAAATAGACTTTTGGCATCCACTTTCAAAGGATGATCGAACATCCGAACAACGACAAAAACAGTTATATTCACTGCGGTTCTGGGTTAAAACAGAGTTTAGAAATTTTGGAAGGAACAAGCCTTTGGAAGAATACCGCTATTCTCAGTAGGAACAAGCCACGTCGAAAGGTACATTTCCTGAAAAAAAGTGACAGATACTTGGAGATGACGTGAACAACTGAGTACTGAGTATGCGATGATATGAAGAAAATCCCATCATTGTTGCTGTGAGCATGCGATGCTTTTTTCTTTTTGCTTTGTGATTCTCTAGAATGCATTTTGTTCCTATGTTCCTCTGTGTGTGTCAACATTCCCTCCCTAGCTTGTAAAAAATAATAGATGTTTGTGTTTCAGAATTGTTTCATTGCAACTGCGGAAAAGTGTACATGAAGAAGAATACTTTCAACAGACACGTCAGATATGAATGTGGCAGGCCCGACCCTTCATTTTCTTGCATTCATTGTCACTACAAGTGCTGGAGAAAAGACAAAATTGTGACACATTACAAAACGAAACATCTTATTCATTGTAGAGATACTATTCAGAAATTGTTGAATGAGTCTTGATATATTTAACATGAAGGATCCGACAAATACGGTTTCAGTAAGAAAATAATAAGAAAGTAAAAATTTGCAATTTTTACCCGACGAATTTTAAGCAAAATCATTCACACGAACTTGCTTATTCTGTAATAAAGATGTTTTTCCTGTGGGTTCCTTCATGATGTGCAATTTTTCAAAACCTGCTAGAAAAACCTACAAGTTTCCTGCATAATTTCCAAAAACTAATTTCTTTGTTCTTTAAGAAAATGACAAAAATTGTATGAAACTTGAATATGAAATGTTAATGTCAAGCATTTATCCTTTCCATTGATTGTTTTTATGACCACCTAATGGCTGGATTGACTTATTGTTAGCGAAGTGATCATTCTAGTCAGTTTGTAACCAAAGATGTAATTTAAAGCAAATAAATTCTTCGTGAGATACCTATTTCATTTGCATTAGGGTTTTTAAGTTATATGGTTCCATTTAAAGTGCGAATAACTCTAGCGTGATATCGTTTTGTCGTACCAAAAAACCCTTGTATACCAATTTTCACTGTTATACATCAAATATTGTTCGAAATATTTTAAAAAAACTATTTTAGAAAGTAAATTTAAACACCCTGTATTTCGGAAGCCACGCATTTTTCGACCCATGTTTATATAGACTTTATGCTTTAATTTTAAAAGTTCTATCGAATCTTAAAGTTCTGCAACAATAAACTGAAACACCCTGTATAAGGTGTTAAGGAATATGTTGATAATTTCTTAGACCTTCGAGGAACACAAAAAATAAATTTCTTCCCCTACGCAGTTCCAGGTACTTGGAGCAGATCACTGCGACACAATTTTAATAGGAGCTTAACGGCATTGGTTTGATGATTTTTTTAATGAGTTGGATTTCCTTAGAATGCCATTTCCTAAGAGAAGGCCGTGGCGACTTTCTATATGTTATTGTCTGTCAGAGCGGTACGTAGGACCTTTGCTCTTGGTTAAAGTAATGCAGTGCTGTTAGTTCGGATTGCCCAGAAACCAGGCAAAGTCATGGAGACAAAAAGGGAAGAAATAGGAAAGAAAAGAAGGAGGAAAAGGAAGAAGTGCGACAATTGGAGGGGTGCCTTAGCAGTGGTAACTGGTATTAGGAAATTTTAAATCAATCTGAAAATTAATTTAGAGATTGTTTGTGTGGTTCTGGAAACATTGTAATCTTGGTTAGACCGAAAAGTTTTTATTTTAGTACACAGTGTGAGCCGCGCTCTGCTGACTCACGAAATAAATGGATGCTGTGCGAAAAACGTGCTATGTGTTCCTATTGAAGTATACCAGCTTGGACGCCTTTTTGTTGCTTCTGTTCGCCTTGTTTAGTTAAGCTATAAATGTGATACTTTCGTAGAAAAACTTGTATGTAATTGCCGTACGTTTCCATGAGCCTTGAACATGATTTCTACCACGCACGCAGGATTTCATAGAAAATTCTGCTTTGAAAATATTTTAGATCAACAGAGGGATAATAGCCCAAAACGGTAATGTAACTTTCGAATTTTCAGGTTTCACCGGCCGCCAAATAAAACCACAGATGATGAATTCAAAGATTTACTAATGTTTGGCCACCTCTGTAGCCAAAGTGCAATTACCTTGAAAAAGGTCACGGAGATGGCCGAATTGCTAGCAAATATTTTAGTTACGTATCTGTGGTTTTATTTGACGTTTAGTGAAACATGAAGATTTATCAGCAAGACAACCACAGGATGTGTTGTAGAATTTTACTTTGCTTCACTCTCCAAATTGCGGTGACTGTTATACACATTAATAAACTTACTTGAATCAAAACACTTTTCAGGTCCGTTTACCTGTCAATGTGGAAAAATCTACTCGAAGGCCTATACGTTCAAAAGACATATTACATATGAATGTGGAAAAGAGCCTGCTTATTATTGCTCTCAATGTGGCTACAAATGTTGTAGGAAAGATACATTATCTGCGCATTACAGAGGTAGACACCGGGTGTACTGCAAGGAAACCCTCAGGCTAATAATGGACAGTCATGGACAGTTTGATACAAAGTGGAACTTGAAACCCTTTCCAATGTAAAATCGAAAAAGTACTACGTCTGCTGCAAATGTTTTTATTCGATGTTTTGTTACATATCCGTTCAACTTGAAGTCAAATGGAAATGTAAAAAAACATGGTAACGCAACTCCCTGAAAATTACGGTGAATTTTCAGACGATTTTTTATGATATCGAGAACTCTGTGTATGCTACGAGAAGCTGCCACGCTGTGTGTCGTCCGCGATATGTTTAGTATATACTGCAGCAGATTTTCACTGAGTCTCTTTTGTTCAGAGTCAAAGTGCGAAACATAAGATAATTCGAGACTTTCAAAAAAACTGTGTCACAATTGGGATCTCGGGGAAGGTTTGAAAGACAAAGCCAGTTAAATGGTGACATTGCATTCTTAGGTATCTAACAAAATGGCACTCGTAGTTTAAAGTACTTCCGGCGGCAAAACTATCTTTTCATCGCAGTATTTGAGCTATTTTTATTTAAACTCAATGTGCCTGCATCGCTTTAGATATGACGAATACGGAATGTGTTTAGCAGCCCGCAACATCATCAAAGCTTTTACTTCCTCTCATAATTGTCTGCCAGTTTTTTTTAATTTATGCTGTTAGCAATCTTTTTATTATTAGATACTTATAAATAGCATGGAATTCGCTTTATGTTGGATTCGATTCCATGAATTAAGACCAACTATAGAAAGTTTACTTTTTTAAGACATTTGAAGTTTTATAATAACAATCCGTATTATGTTATGTACATCAATCGAAAATCGTATAAAAAGCTGAAGGAATGCTTGGCTGATGATATTACGGAACAAATCACTGTTTCAAAGCCTATCTCGGAGGTTTTTATATGTATTGTTATAGTTTTGAAATACTGATGTATGATATATTATAAATGGAAAACTCTGTTCACCTATGTAAAATTCCAATATAGCGTCCATGATAAGAATAAATTTGATTTTGGGAAAATTCAGTTTCTTCTGCGTATCACCGAAAACAATTCTAATTTCAAAACTTCCCGAATGCCATTTTCTTGTTACCTGAATGCGCAACCGTGTCCTCATCTAACTGTCTTTATATCTCTTATGTTTCCGAAATACCAATAGTCACATCGAGTTTGAAACGTACGTACTTATTAAAACATAGATGAAACTGATTTTTAAATTGTTTTTCAGTCAGGACACGTGTAATATGTTAGCTTAGTGACTGATACCTTCTAGTCTCAAAAGATAATTTGTACCTGGACATAATTATTATATGTATAAATGTGAGTACCTATGAAATAAAGTTATAATGGAAAGTCTATGAAAATATTCCAGTATTTTATTGTTCCATGTTCCATTAGATGGGTACTATCGTTATAAAGTGGTTTCTTATGTCTTAACTTCCTTGGCTCAAATGCTTTCCAAAACGCTTTCCATTATGTGTGTTTTTAATAAAAGGTCAACAAATACCTGGCGCAATTTACCGTTAGCACACCTCTAACAGATATCTGACGGCTGATATATGGAGCGTCTAAAGGTAGTAAGGCCCCAAAATATAATCCTTGTGTCACGTGATTGCTGCAATCAAAGTCGTGACAGGATTGGTCTGACATATCGTTTTTTACAACAATGAGGAGCTACGATTGAGCGGTTTTTCTGCTCTGGCGTACGACGTATTCACTCGGGATTATTACAAGAATAAAAAATGTCCTTTACGTATCCCGAAATAATCAAGAAATTGAAAAGGTTTATTGGCATCCAAGAAATTATTTATTAATCAGTTTTGTTTGTTCGTTTGAGATACAATGAATACTTGATTCTCACTAGAATCCACCAGCACGGATATAATGTAAAAAAACCTATAAAATGTCAAGGAAAACCTACAAAATGTCATCTTGCAGACTAGGTAGTTTTTAGGGTGCAAACAGTCATTCCACGTTTGCTCACTAGGATCGTTGTGAGCGTCCATCTATGGAGAAATGACTCATCTACACGCATTGTTGGTTGCATATGTTTTGTGAAACTGAATAGTCTGTAGTTTTGATCTCTGAGAAGAAAGTTGGTTGAATAGCAAGATCGCCATTTTTTAAATACACCAAAAAGTGGATGAGCAACTAATTTCTAGCTCGGAATCTCAAGTAAGTGTATTTGAGACAAGAATCCAATGGAATTATCATGAACACATTATTAGCACACAAATCCTCAATATGCACCTATGTATTGCCGTTTCCTTCTAGCTATAGTATACAACTTACAGCTTAGACCTCCAGTAATGCCATCTCTGAAGCAGACATCAGAGCCAAACATTGATAACTGACGTTTAGGCAACACGTACAACTACAAAACGAGTGCACAAAGTGTCCATCAGCTAGTGCTAAGTTGACATTTTGTAGAAAAACCTACATAATGGCACAAAAAATCAACACATTGTCAAAAAAGATCGACATTATATCACTTTTGGTGATTGGTAGTTGTATGATGTTTGAAAATGCTACATCAGTATCATGATAAATGAATGAATGAATCTTGAATTTTAGAGGCATCCCGGCCACCATAAGGAGCCAGTGCATAGGCCGCTTAAGCGGGCCCTTATGCACCTCTACAATACTTAAATCACAAGCCTCGCCCTTTTAGCGAAGTTGAGAATCGCCTTGAGTCCAAGCTCCTTTACGTCCTGAGGGTCCAAAGTAATGGACCCCAGTATAGTCTGCCTATAGTAGCTCAGAGCTTCACAGCGACACAAAACGTGCGCCGAGGTCTCTTCCTCTACTCCGCAGCGTTCGCATAAGGGATCCTCAGCCACCCCCATCACGTGCAGGTGCCGCCTTAACGTGTTATGGCCAGACAACAGTCCCACCAGCAACCTTAGGTTGGCTCTACCCAGAGATAGGCAGAAGCGTCCATCCTTAGCACTGGGCCCTTCAATGAGCTCTCGTGCCTGGCGGAGATGTCTAGAGATACTTCTCCATTTCTGAGAGTGTTGTCTTGCAACCCACGTCTCCATTTTCCTCCTAGCTTTATGCGCGGTTACTCCTAGAGCTGGCTCAGGACCAACGAGCTTGCTGGCTGATCCTGTTTTCGCCAGAGTGTCCGCCGTCTCATTGCCCCTTATCCCAGCGTGCCCCGGTACCCATATTAACGATACCGGATGCCTCGCTGCGAGGCAATCCAGAGCCTCCCTGCATTGCAATACAAGACTCGAAGTAATCTTACATGCACTTAGTGCTTTCATTGCAGCCTGGCTGTCGGATAAGATTGTTATTCTTCTCCTAGGCCCACCCTCCTCCAGAATGTGAGATACACAAGCCAGAATCGCAAAGATTTCCGCCTGGAAAATGGTGGTGTACTCACCGAGAGGCAGAGATAGCCTAGTTCTAGGTCCAGAGACCCCAGCACCTGAGCCCTCTTCGGTGACCGAGCCGTCCGTGTACCAGACCTGCCCGCTCACTTCGGAGAGTCCTCGGCTACCGGCGTCCCACTCCTCCCTCGTTGGGTACTCCACAATGAACTTGCGGTTGAAGCGATATTTAGGGGTA